AAAATATCAAACCCTACTGAAGACTGAAGAAGAGTTCTGCCTTTATTGATCAAAGGTCTGGTTGTGGAGTCTGGGAATGCTGGGCCGTTATTCAGGCTGATCAATCTGAAAACTGGTAGCAAAGCTTCTCATTTCTTCCTCCAGGAGGCTCTCAGGCTGCCCCTGTCTTTTCTGTGACCCTGGTCTCTGCTGAGCGCGTGATGCTTTGCTCACTTCCTGCTTCATGTTGTTAGTTTAGCACAAAGCAAACAGAGCAGCACCCAGTTCCACCTAAAGCCATCATGGGTTTGCAGAGCGGCATGTTCCATCAGCATGAATAAGAGCTTATTGATTTCCTGTGTGGCTAATAGCAGCTGACGTAAGGGAAGCTCTGGTGGAAGGTGGGCCTCCACCAGTAACAGCCTTTCATGCTGCATCATCCCATAAATATCCAACAGAAATCCATTTAAACCAGTGACTTTCCTGACATGCCTCATTTTCCCACCAGCAGTTGTTGTCGCTGTAAAGTGACCTGAGATGACTTGTTGTGAATTGGTGCCATGAACTGAACTGGTTCCCCGCGGGTTCTGATCCAGCTCTGATCCGCTCCTAGACTGGAATCCGTCTTAGAAGCTAAATCAGATTGTGGGGAATTATTCAGACAATCCTGTTTCTGCATCTATTATCTCAGCATCTGGCAGGTCACCAGATGCTGCTGCATGTATTAAGTTCCTGCTGCTGGAATGTTTAAACATGATCCTCCAGGCCTCCAAGGCTGTTTTTTCCTCTCCTTCCCTGTGAGCAGAACGCAGGCTGCATTTAGGTCAATGTTAGGAGTCACTAAGGGACCCAGACGTTCTTTACCCAATCTGTTACCTGTAGATCTACATTTTTTCTTTCTTTTTATTAGTTGCTATATTTAAGGACCTATTGACCATCTACAGCTCAGTGGTCTTCTTTAGGTTCCTGTTAGCCAGAGTGGGGGCCTATGCAATTGCAGGGGGTCATGGTGGAAATCAGTTAAATATAAATTTTTTAGGGTATTGATCTTTTTTTTCTAACATTGATATCAATGTTGACGTCTGTTACATAGTGAAATAAACGTCCCTCCATCTTCTCCTGGTTGTTCCCTCAAGAAAGGCAGTAAAAGGAAAACTGAACGAGACAAGATCTGCATGATCTGAGAATGAAGGAGGAAGAGATGGCCGCCTGTTTAATCTGCATTTATTAGATTGTTTTCACTTGTAGCTCCAAATATTGAAGTGATGAACCTTTTTAGTATTTAATCAGGTGAGAAAATAACAATAATCATCATCATCTTAGTAATCATAGCACATATGATGAGATTGTGTGTGTTTTGAAGGGATTGTGATTGTTTTATGTCCCTGTTTTAGATTAGTGTTAGACTGATAGAAGAGGAGAAGAAGAAGATTAGAAAGCAGATAGAATGAGATTGGAGGAAAATAGGAAGACTGATGGAAAGATCAATTAATAGAGAAGGAAGAAAAATATGCTTGGAAGAGTAAAACAGAGAGCGGGTAGAAGTCAGCTAGAAAGAAAAGATGAGAGAGATGGAAGGAGGCAGAGAGGATTAAATGACCAGATTCCACTAATTAACACTATTATTGATTAATTGAATCAATCTTAGGAAATAGGAGAGGGACATTCC